GGGGAGCAGTGTGGGGTTAAGGGTCTTGCTCAGGGATCCAGAGTGCAGGCTGTGGGAATGGAACCGGCTACTGAAACCTTCTCAGAGCACAGCGCTCTGCTCTAACCACCAGGCCAACACTCACCCTACTGTGTGATTTTTACTAAAGGAGAAATTTGGGTTTTCTTTTCTTTACTGGAGAAATTTAGTTGTTATATTTTTCAGTCGACGTAAATTTTCATGCAGTTATCTGACTATCTTCCTGCTGCTTACATGTTTAAAAACTAATCTCTTTACTCATGAGTTGGGAGTAAAACTCACATGAATCCGTTTAAATAACAGTGACTGTGATTGGATGAGAAGAGCAAGCGTTTCCCATCTTTGCAGCTTATTGGCTGTTGGTCTGAGCAGGATCACATCTACGCTTCTCTAAGCACTAGAACATCACTCCCCTCAAACATCCACCTTCCTCCATCCATCCCTTCATCATCAGTCATTTTATCAGGAGGCTCCAATCAGAGCGCCGTGCTGCTGCTGCTGTTTGAATCTGTACCGCAGCAGAATCAGGTGGTTTTACCTGGACTCACCTGTTCAGTTGATCTCTATAACACATTATCTACATTTTGCAGACACCTTTTGGCCTTTTCCGGATGACTGTGGTGGTGGTGCCTTTCCTGTACGTTGGAACTTTGATCAGCAAGAACTTTGCTGCTCTCCTCGAGGAGCATGACATCTTCGTCCCTGACGATGATGACGACGATGACTGACTTTAGTGTGCAACATAAAAAGAGGTAAAATCAACATGTCCCAGAGCTACACCGTCTAGTGCTATGCCCTGTAGAGCCACACCCTGTAGAGCTGCACCGTAGAGCCACGGCCTGTAGAGCCATGACACCCTGTAGAGCTACGGCCTGTAGAGAGACGCCCTGTAGAGCCACGGCCTGTAGAGCTGCAACCTGTAGAGAGACGCCCTGTAGAGCCACACCCTGTAGAGCTGCAACCTGTAGAGCTACAGCCTGTAGAGCTACGGCCTGTAGAGCCACACCCTGTAGAGCCACGCCCTGTAGAGCCATGCCCTGTAGAGCCACGACCTGTAGAGCCACGCCCTGTAGAGCCACGCCCTGTAGAGCTACGGCCTGTAGAGCCACGGCCTGTAGAGCTACGGCCTGTAGAGCTACGCCCTGTAGAGCCACGCCCTGTAGAGCTACGGCCTGTAGAGCTACG